TTAACTCTGTCTTGTTCCATCCTATTCAAGATCAGCTCAAAGTTTATTGTTCCCAAATGTTCAAGTTATGCCCTAACTTTTGTTCTAATACACTAAGACGAAGGTCACGTGATGTAGAGACTCCGCTAAAATTACATCAGTTGTTCATCAAACTGACCAGTTTTAAAGCAGTAGAGCTTTGAAGAGAACAACAGCGTCAACAGATAAACAGCTATCTCAAGTCCAGAATAAAAGGAAAGTGGAAAAAATCTAATCGCAAGAAGAATATCATTTGGAAGAAAAATTGGTCATGGCTTCCACAATAATCTCTCCACAAAAAACAAACACATGGATTTTTGTGATTTGCAGTTTGACCCTGAAGAAAGTTAATCTGCGATTGACGTCATCTGCATTCCTGGTCCTATTTTAAAAAATGGTTTTAAAATAACAAAAAACAACTGATTCATCTGAATTGATGTCAGTCCAATCCATCCCATACGTGATAAACAAGTGGCAGGAAGCTTACAACACAGCTGTGATATCAACTTTGTTCTAACTAAACCCTACTTGTAAATAATTTAAGGCGATTACTTTGAAAGGAATATAGACGACTTGCGTAGTTTACGCTCAGTGTCGTTCCAAGCACAGAGAGTTTTGTTCCTAACACTGTCAACAGTGAGGCATTCTATTCAATTACATGTACTTCGAATGACATCCGCGTTATCCAGGGGTAACTGGGTAACTATGTAAAAACCACAACGTCTATTAGCCTAAAGCACACTTAACCTATAAATATGTACATATTGCTACATGCTCTTTTAGAGCAGATTTTCATCTGGAACAACACACATAATATACCAATGGAAAATCAGGAGCAAATGATTAGAAAGAGAAAACTAAAATAAAACTGCTCACATGGATACGTCTGAATATTAATGAATAAAAATGTCAACATCTACCCGAAACAACAGTTTTCAAAGTTTACGGTTACGAGATATTGATATATATATATATATATATATATATATATATTGAACTCATTTGTTCAAAATACAATAAGCAGCATTCTAAAGTTTTAAAATCGGCACAGTAGTTAACTCTGTCTTGTTCCATCCTATTCAAGA